TCCATTATTAAAACATTATTATAAAATATCACATTAAAATAACTGGTCTTTGATAGAGAAAACAACAAATAAGATCACTTACACTGTATTGCATCTGTCAGATTGCAATGATTTTGCAAATTGGTTCAGCATAAGACTTACAATGAGCATTAATTTATAAGGACAAGAATATGATGGCAAATATAATTATAGTATTAAATAAATTAGTACATGCACCCTGTGCGAAATTATATGTTACATTGACTTTATACATAAATGTTTGTCTTTGATCAGATATGCTGTGCAATAATTGTGATACGACTCTTAGTTTCAACTGATTAAGCAAAGATGACTACATCTTCTTAATCTGTCAGCAAAAGATGACTGCATCTTTCTGACACAAGAGTGTCCACTGAAAGAATTCTCACAATTTTTATACTGTACAACAGCAATATATTTTTTATGTCTTGAACAGTAGTTGATGGTAAAATTATAATATATATATTGGAGTTTTCTAGGTACTTTTTATTTAGATATAATTTGCTGTGTAATATAATCATCAGAAAACTTTCAGCTTCAACTGATTAAGCAAAGATGACTACATCTTTTTAATCTGTCAGCAAAAGATGACTGCATCTTTCTGACACAAGAGTGTCCACTAAAGGAATTCTCACAATTTCTATACTGTACAACAGCAATATATTTTTTATGTCTTGAACAGTAGTTGATGGTAAAATTATAATATATATATTGGAGTTTTCTAGGTACTTTTTATTTAGATATAATTTGCTGTGTAATAATCATCAGAAAACTTTCAGCTTCAACTGATTAAGCAAAGATGACTACATCTTCTTAATCTGTCAGCAAAAGATGACTGCATCTTTCTGACACAAGAGTGTCCACTAAAAGAATTCTCACAATTTCTATACTGTACAACAGCAATATATTTTTTATGTCTTGAACAGTACTTGATGGTAAAATTATAATATATATATTGGAGTTTTCAAGCTACTCTCATTTAGATATAACTTGCTGTGTAATAACCATCAGAAAACTTTTAGTTTCAACTGAATAAGCAAAGATGACTACATCTTCTTAATCTGTCAGCAAAAGATGACTGCATCTTTCTGACACAAGAGTGTCCACTGAAAGAATTCTCACAATTTTTATACTGTACAACAGCAATATATTTTTTATGTCTTGAATACTAAAATTATTTTATGGTATAATTTATTGTGAAATTAGAGTAAAAGTTTACCTCTCAATTAGTATTTATATATGCATTGTTAGTAAGGTAGAAAAATGCATTTAGTGATTATACATAATTGTTTACATACTCTCTGAAATAAACAATGGAGACATTTGTAAATCCTACCGGTGATGGTACAGAAACATCATTGATTTCCTCAATGTGGCGCTTTGTGGTGTTATTTCATTCGATTTAATGATAGCGCTAGAAGGCGCGCGCGGCATGTAATTTTGGCGGGAGATTGAACCGGTATGGATTTGTCTAGTTTATTTAGACATTCTCGAGCGCGAGCATAGAAGATTGATATGTCTTTCCATTCGAACGGACGTGGCTCTAGGTCGTTTTCTGTTGATGTTGTTTGATGGCTGTTTGCCTTCGCGGTCTCTGAAATCAGCGATATTAACCTTTAGTACTTCGCTGGAGAACAATCAGAATGTCGCGCTTCCTTCGTGCTTTCCACCAGATTTCGGATATCCAAAAAGCAAGTCATTGTACGCATACCAATTCTTGCTATAGTCTAAGCAATGCAAATATACTCGATAGTACATTTCGCAAGTTGAATTGACTAGTCGCGCTCAAGCGGCTCAACAACTTCGCGGTTTTAGTCAAAAATTGGCGCGCGTTTGCCTTTATAACTCCTAAATGCGGCGTTGACAATCGTGTTTAGCTATTAAGAATTAATAAATTATTAGCCAGATCGAGTATCAAATTACACTTGCGCGAAATAAAGAAGCAAGTTAATTCAATTTCTACATGTCAACCCTCAAACACCTACCAAACAGATGCCATGGGAACGAACACTTTTTGCCTTAATTTTTTCACACATTGTGCGGGTCCTCATGAAAACCCATAGGCCCTCTGCACGAGTCGAAAGGTGGGTTTTGAGATTGCAGAATTATGATTTTACTGTTAAGTATCTTCCGGGTCCAGAAAACATCGCGGACACGTTGTCTCGGAAACAGTTGTTGAAGAAATCGATCGAATCCAGCGGTCGTGACTGTGAAGTTTCGCGTCAAAACGGATAGCTATCGCCTAAACCAAGAAGGCAGTGTTGGCCTCCTAAACGTTTTGGTGATTATTTACTATATAAGTAATTCGTAGTACTTTATGATACCTTATAGTATAATATAATATATATATAATATATATATATATATATATATATATATATATATATATATATATATATATATATATATATATATATATATATATTTATATATATTATATATATATATATATTAATATAATATATATAATATATATTATATAATATATATATTATATATATAATATATTATATATATATTGAAGTTTTAGAAACAGTAGAATTAAGCGAACATTATCATGTATACAAAGTGCGAAAACCTATGGAAAAATCATTTAAAATCTGTTTCTAAAAAGTGTTTGCAACATTTCTTCCATAGCATGTTACTAGCCCTATTGGTGCCACTGGGTTATATGTAAATGTTAAATATGATACTGATTTAATGAATATTTAAACAGTAAACATATACTCTATAGATATGTAAATACATAATCTAGTACAATGTAATTAAAAAAAAAACTTATCTCCAATATTAAACATCACAACGAGTAAATCCTTTTGGCATAAATTTTAAGTTCCAAAAACAACTCATTTGTTCGTCGCCTACAGTGCGACCTGAAACATAAACGGGATATTCGCATGTGCCCAACCTTTAAACTCAAGGGCACAGCGAGAGTTTCTCTACACGGTATAGGAGGTAGAACAGTGAAGAAGATTCGCAAATTTGATTTAGGCGTAGTTTCTCGGTGTGCCCTAGATATTGTTATTCTGGAGATAGGCACGAACGATTTGTCCTCCTTAAGGCCCGAAACAGTCGGGTCACGCATTGACGACTTGGTTGCTTTATTGCTGGATCAATATCACGTAAAATTGGTATGCGCATGCATGATTTCCCCGCGAAAGAACAACCCTCTTTTTGAAAAGCAGCGTTTAATGCTGAACAATTATCTACAGGTAGTTTTAGAGAAGGTCCCGAGAGTGTTTTTATGGACACACCATGGCTTTATACGACCCTCCGTGACGCCATTTCTACCTGACGGGCTCCATTTTAATCGAATCGGGCAATATAAATTATACCGAAGTTATCGGGGGGCCATTCTTCAAGCAACTAAAATGTTATAAAATTATATTATATAATATATATATATATATATATTAATTAATATATATATATATATATAATATATATATAATATATATAATATATATATATATATATATATATATATATAACAAGCTGTCGTACATTACATTTACTTTATAATATAACCTTGACATTTGACAAACTTTACTCGTGATTACTTTTAAATACCGCTTTAGCGCCTTTATCTATTATATCTTTATCTTTTATCTATATGAGAGTTCTCACACTGTTTGTGAGTTTTGTTGGCCATATGATGAACGGTGCGGCGATCTTCTGATCTGCCATGTTCATCCTGCTGACGTTTGATTTTGTCTTTATCTCTCATCTATATGAGAGGTCTCACACTTTTTGTGAGTTTTTTGTTGGCCATAGGGTGAATGGTGCGGCGATCTTCGGATCTGCCATGTTCATCCTGCTGACGTTTGATTTTGTCTTTATCTCTCATCTGTATGAGAGTTCTCACACTTTTTGTGAGTTTTGTTGGCCATAGGGTGAACGGTGCGGCGATCTTAGGATCTGCCATGTTCATCCTGCTGACGTTTGATTTTCTAATCATTCTTTCACAAGTTCCAATTTTCAATTACGACAAATAACGGACGAATCCTCATTATTGAATGTTCGCCATTACGGGGGATAGTTTTATTTCTCGCACAACGACAAAATTTGGGTGCGGTTGCTTTACTATCTAAAAACTCATTACGCCATAAGTATCTATTTCTGCTTTTAAAGTTTTGTTTCTTAGAATGCCACCCGTACGTCGTTCTAAGCGTGTCGCCGCTCCATCAGCCGTTTTTGCGAGAGTCTGTTCAGAACCAACCAACAACATCTCGTCGAACTCGAAGTTCGTCCAATGCTGTATCTGTTGGTGCCGCCCCGTCAACGTCAACTGTGCCCGTGAGTCAAGTGACTTTGCCCTCTCTTTCGAGTGAGCTTATCTCAACGCTGGTGTCTTCGGTTACCGAGGCAGTCACGCAAAAGCTAGCTGGTTTCTTACCAACCTCTGCGTCTTCCACATCCACAATGGCGTCTGCCCCAACGGATTCTACCTCCGGAATCGAAATCTCAAACCAGGGTCCCAATGCAGATTCTCTGGTCAACGACGCGCTCACGTCCATACAAGAAAACCTTACAGGTCAGACCACTCCTTTTTCTCTTCAATGTTCAAGTGCCCCGTGTCCACGGGAATCATTCCACTCTGCCGCTTTGCCTCTTGATTCGCGGATTCCGGATAAAACAAAGCTTAAAATATGGAATGAGGAGTTTGTCGATATAAGTACTTTGTCAGCCCTTACAAAAATTTCACATAATCATTTCACATATGAAATATTTCATATATGAAACCTTATGTGGAATTGAAACACTTCATATATGAAAATTTCACATGTGAAATTGTTTCATATATGAAAATTTCACATGTGAAATTGTTTCATATATGAAAATTTCACATGTGAAATTGTTTCATATGTGAAATATTTCATATATGAAACCTTGTGTGGAATTGAAACACTTCATATATGAAAATTTCACATGTGAAATAGTTTCACATGTGAAATCATTTTATATATATGATTTTTACCCAAGAATATTTCATATATGAAATGATTTCAAAAATGAAATGTTTCACATATGAAATAGTCAGAAGATAATAAAATGGCTGCATGAGTGAATTTCAATGTATGGATTGAACATTTATTGGATTAAAACTTAAGAGGTTTTATACAATAAAAATCTAAATACAAAAGTTAATCATATTAAATACATACACATATTTACATACACAATTAAAATACACAATTAAAAAAACAATTTGGCTAACATTTAAAGAAGAACACTTATCAAGTTCAATTATTATTTTTCCTTTCCATGGCATTTTTTCATGATTTCATCCTTCATCTGTTTGCACATAGCATTCCTTTTCACTATCTTTGCTGTTCTGCCTTACACATTCTAATAAAAAGTAAATATATCAGTTTATTCAAATGCTCTTAGGTTATCTCACTTTCAAAATTATTATAAACTAATTTCATCATACAAGACTATTCCTAGCTACACAAATTTTTACCAGCTTTATCACAACTTTAGTATATAAAGTTTCTACGGCTAAGGAAAAATCATGCCTGTTGCTATTAATCATATTATAAATATAAAAAACGGATATACATACCTTTTATCATTTAGCCAGATCAAATTGTTTGTCTTCATTTCCCTTGCCAGCCGAAGTCTGATGATTCCTAGTGTGTTTCTAACTCAATGGCTGCCAACAGAATATTTGTCCATTTTTCTTCATTTTTGGCTTGGTTCACTTCAACCCAAGCAGGTGATGCGGGCATCAACTAAGAGCAAAAAAAAATAGTTGTGTTACTATTATACAATGTATTTGTATACTAGTTCTTACAGATTTTGTCAATATGTTATTAGCATTCATTCAATATGCCATGATGTGCAATGGACACAAGTCTATCTTTGAGAGACCAAAGTTCTTGTAAAGTTCAATTACCTGATCATGCAGCTATTAGGTCAATGTAAAAAAAAACAAATGAATGACCAATACATTATTCGCAGCATTATTTTGCAACAACTGCACTCTGGTCAGTTCATTGTGAACAAATCTTAATTTTCAGCTAATTGAAAACCACAAAATTTTAAAAATCTTATTCCACTGATTGTTATTCCTGGTGATTGATGACTGTAATGATTTTGAGTCAGCCTGAGTCTGACTCAGATAAGACATGGCTTTCCCATCAATAATTTCATGTGTAAAAAATAACATAAGTCATAAGGAACAATATAAATTCCTTCGTATTTTCATATTACTGTTATATGAAAAAGGATTAAGAGTAATCAATATAAATTGAACAAATTGCCCGTGATTTATCTGTGATTACCGTGATTTTATATAATGTGTATATAAGATCAAGTCAAGCTGATCAACACAAACAATAACATACCCGACAATTTCTTTAAAACCATTCTTTAATAGACCACATGAACACAGCTTAACCACAGCTTAACCACATATCCCATTGATATCTATATTTGGACTATTCCACACGGATATATATTAAATTTTTACGCTAAAACAAGTTTCCCAAACCATATTTACGACAGCCAGCAGAAAGTTTGAGACGTGATGTAATATGAGACGTTCTTCCGAAGCACGGTTCGTTTACGAGCAATGCCGACTAAGCCGATCGAGGACTCTTCGGGTAGCAATCGGGTCATCCTCGCTCCCAGGCGCTTTAAAAATAAATATAAGAACACTACAGGCTTTAGTGGGATTTGACCAGTAAAGACGTTTGACAGTCCAATTAAGAATTTTGAGATGCAACTGCATCACGAATTTTGAGATACAACTTGTGTTGCCCGCTTCTTGTATAAACGTCCCTGTAGCGACCAAGGCATTTCATAAACAGCTTTGCGCTCGAAAGTAATTTCCTAGGTAACCAAATTCCTTTTACATCAAAGCCCAGATGGGTAATATGTTAAAATACGCAAAAATGTTATGAAAATGAAAACTGATAATTTATGAACTTTTTACAATCTCACGTGTGAAAGAAATTTCATATTTATGAAATTTACTTTTCACATGTGAAGGTGAAATTTCATATGTATCAGCTTTTAATTATTCATATGTGAAACAAATTTCACATGTGAAGCTGGCATTTCATATATGAAATTTATTTTTCACATGTACAGGTGAAATTTAATGTCATGAATGGTGACCATTTAAATCATTTTATTACTAAAGAAGCCAAGATTTCATGTATGAATCGTTTTACTTATAGGAAAACGTAATATAAAAAAAATAAATAAATTCATATGTGACAGTAGCAATTCATATTATGAATTTTTTTTTCCAGACGTGAACGTAAAATTTCATATGATATTTAAAAAATTCATATGTGAAAAACCAAAATTTGACAAATGAAACAAAAATTTCATATGTGAAATTAGCACTTCATATATGAAAATTCACTTTTCACATGTAAAAACTAATAAACGTCATACACGGTATAAATTATTTGATTGGAGACGCCAAAATTTCATGCACGAATCGTTTTACATATAGGAAAACTTCATTAAAAATTAATTAAAATTCATATGTGAAAGTAGCAATTCATATTATGAAATTTATTTTTCACATGTGAACGTAAAATTTCATATGATAATTTCATATGTGAAACTAAAATTTCATATATGAAACAAAAATTTCATATGTGAAACCAAAATTTCATATGTGAAACCAAAATTTCATATGTGAAACTAGCATTTCATATATGAAATTTACTTTTCACATGTGAAAATGAACGTCATACACAATTTAAATTATTTCATTGGAGAAACCAAAAATTTCATGTATGAATTGTTTTTTTACACAGGAAAACTAATATTAAAAAAAAAAAAACAAAATTCATATATGAAAGTCACTTTTCTTATGTGAAAATCAAATTTCATATATGAAGTTTTTCATTTCATATATGAAAATGGTCATTTCATATATGAAACTTCTATTTCATATATGAAATGTTATGTGAAATTTTTGTAAGGGAGGTGGCCCAGACGCGGCCGCTAAATACGAGATTAGTGTACGTACCTCTGACAACGGTCAACCTGCTTCTCTTCTCCTTGAGCCGACTGCGAAATCCAAAAGGGTGAAAACTATTAGCGATTGGCTTCGTTCGTTTCATATTTTTGTTTCCATTTATACACAACGGTACCCCCATGAGTCCCCCGCGCTCATGAAATATTGTCAAATCATCCAGGATTTGGCCAATAGGGGTCATAATTGGTTTTACTACGATGAGAATTTTCGATTTTTGCGCCAAACACAGGCCACGCGGGTTCCCTGGGCGACTGTTCACTGGGAGTTATGGTTGAAATGTCAATATCCCACTACTTCTAAGCCGAACACGCAAGGCAGCAATCATACGCGCCACCCTTCAAAAGTGTCTGTTCCTCGGGGATATTGTTTTAAGTTTCATCGCGGAACGTTTTGTGCCGGTTGTGATTTCAAGCACATTTGTTTTAAATGCAACGGATCGCACCGTGCCGTGAATTGTAATTTTCGTGCCAACAACAGACCATCTCCCACTGATCGATCGCCTAGGCCTATTTCAACAACGTCCGTTGGCAACACCCGTAAAACTTCATAATTTACAAATATTGTTAGAAGGTTATAATCCAAGTATTGTTGATACACTAATTTCCGGATTTACTTCGGGTTTTCGCATTCATTTCTCTTGCACAGAACAGTCGTTTGAAGCAATAAATTTACGGTCTGCTCTTGACAAACCAGAAGCGGTTGACCAAAAATTAACGAAAGAGTTAGAGGCATCTCGCCTTGCTGGGCCATTTAATTATCCGCCTTTTCCAAATTTTCGTGTTTCGCCTTTGGGCCTCGTTCCTAAAAAACAACCGGGTAATTTTCGCATGATTCATCATTTATCGTTTCCAAAGGGAGCATCGGTTAATGATGGTATACCCGATTTCGAAACATCTGTGCGGTACGCTATCGTTGACGACGCTATTCAACTTATTAAAAAAGCGCGCCGGGGTTGTTTCCTGGCGAAAACAGATATAAAAAATGCTTTTCGAATCATTCCTATCAGCCCAGCGGATTATCACCTCTTAGGCATAAAATGGCGGAGTTTGTATTATTACGACCGGGCAATGCCAATGGGTTGCTCCAGTTCGTGTCGCACTTTTGAGATTTTTAGTACGGCTATCGAATGGATCGCTAGGGAAAGGCTTAACATCGGCAAACTCCTTCATTTGCTCGACGACTTCCTGTTTGTTGCACCGGAATTTTTCTGCTTGTAAAACAAACTTACAAGTATTCATTGCTCTTTGTGATTTCATTGGCGTGCCTATAGCACCGGGAAAAACCATGGGTCCCTCAACAACCTTAACGTTCGCTGGGATTGAATTAGATACAATACAATTCCAGGCCCGATTGCCGATGGATAAAATCGAGAAATGTGTTCAATCTATCGCACGCTTTTTAATTCGTAAAAAGGTTACACTCAAAGAACTTCAGTCCTAAATTGGATTACTTAATTTCGCATGTTCCGTCATTATGCGTCAGGTCGCACATTCCTGCGACGCTTAATTGATCTAACGCGTGGCATTTCACACCCTCATTTCTTTATTCGCTTAACGCAAAGTGTGAAACATGATCTTCGTGTCTGGCAAACGTTTCTGTCGAATTTCAACGGCAAATCATTCTTTTTGCACAACCATTGGCGTAATAACTCCCATTTGAATTTATATACTGACGCTTCGGGTAGTATTGGTTTTGGGGCCCTGTTTGGTTGCGACTGGTGCTATGGCGCATGGCCAACTGACTGGCGGAGTTACAATATTGCCGTTCTAGAGCTATATCTTATTGTCCTCAGCCTGTGTTTATGGGGATCAAAAATGCGCAATCATTGTATTTTGTTTCTCACGGATAATGAAGCTTTGGTGTCTGTTATTAATAAGCAAACATCAAAGGATTCTTATATCATGACACTCGTTCGCCGGATGGTTTTAGTTTGTTTAGAATACAATATTTTATTCAAAGCAAAGCATATACCGGGTAAACAAAATGTCCTAGCTGATTGTTTGTCTCGTTTACAGCTCCAAAAATTTTCACAATTGGCGCCGGCCGACATGCATCGAGCTCCAACGCCTATTCCCTTTCACCTGCTGCCGGAAAATTGGCGACTATAGTTTCTCAATTAGCTCAAAGTAGCTTGCAACCTTCTTCAGTGCCGACTTATAAACGGGCATGGGCACTTTTTACGCAATTTCATGTGGCAATTTTTAATGAGGATCGTTCACTTTGCCTTTGTCGCCCTCAGTCGTTGCGTTATTCATAGCGTACTTATTTGACCTCAAGTACGCCTCTTCAACAGTTAACACTTATGTATCTGCACTTGGTTATACTCATCGCATGTCCGATCTACCGGATCCAACGAGAGTTTTCTACGTAACGCAAATCTTAAAGGGGTATGGTAAGAAAGGCTTCCGCTTAGATAGTAGGTTGCTAACTTTACCAATTCTCAATCGTCTTATTGAGGCTGCGCCTCATATTGCTGGGTCACCGTACCAAATATGTCAATTCCGGGCAATGTGCTCTTTAGCATTTTTCGCGTTCCTGAGAATTGGAGAAATAACTAAGAAGTCAAATAACGAACCCCTTCAATTGCGACAACTCTCCAAAATATCTCCCGATGATGGCCGGGTTGCAGGCATAAGGTTGACTTTCGAGGACTTCAAGCACAATTATAACAGTAGACCTTTTAGTTTGGAAATTTACAGGCAAACGGCATGCTGTCCTGTTCGCTTATTAGAGGAGTACATGATTTTGCGAGGTACCCAGCCCGGAGCTATTTTTCTATCACAACTGGGCATTCCAGTCTCGTGTGACGAGTTTGCCAATCTTCTTAAAAAGGCTTTCCGCTTCTGTGGACTCGATACTTCCAAATATAAGTCTCATTCATTTCGAATAGGCGCCGCTTCCCACGCAGCTGAACACGGGCACTCTGATGCCCAAATTCGAACTATGGGGCGTTGGAAATCGAACGCATTCCTCAAATATATACGTTTTTCTTCCCTATCAACATAGTTTGGATGAATTTTCGAGCGTAAAACGTGCGGGGAGTTTTCTGCTCGAATTGTGCGGTTATTTTATTTCTTCCTCAGCTTGCACATGGTCAGCAAGGGCGATCGTTTGCATTCCGGGGGGGGGGAAATAAAGTGCTTATAACAGGGTGATGGAGAAGCTTCTTCTGGGCGCGGTAATATTGTGACTCTGCTAAACTAATATCAGTTAAGTGTAGATTATCAGCAAGGGCGATAATCTATGCCTTTTAACGGGCTTTGTAAGTGCCTTTTTGCCCATGTTCGTTTATACGTCGCGCAGACCGCTGATCCTGTATTAATGTATTACGAAACTTTCTGAAACTTTCTGCATGCATCCCTTTCCTTGGGTGGGGTCAACTTGCTTTGCTTCGTTGTTTTGGCGGTAATTTGCCTCCACCCTTTTCTGAGCGTAACTATTTGGAATTTTAATGCAATGTATTAATAAATATCGTTTTGTTTAACAGAAATAAAGCGGCTAGGAGAACCATTACTCCTAGCCAAAATTATCCCAAAACGGCGTAAAATTTAATGTGTCATTATTGATGCTCAGAAAACTGAGCTGCGGAAAGGGTATGCAAAATTCATGCCTGGCAATATATCTATGCGTAAATAAATCACATTACATAAAGGCCTAGAGTTGGAAGTGGAAGCACTGCATGTTTACGCTTTTCAGTCCTTGTATAATTTATAACCTAATTTCATGTAAATCAAGCCAAATCCATAATACATGCACACAGCAAAATCGTGAGTCTTATTTTAAGAAAAAAAATACAAACAAGTAAAATTGTTCTTGTCAGTATAGTAAGAATATTATTCTTGGCAAGAATCCAGGCAAGAATATTATTCTTACCTGGAATCTCATTTTAAGAAAAACAATTCTTGCAACAAGAATTTTCTAAAGAAAAAATACTCGTTTTAAGTAACACATTGCTTGAAATAAGCAAAATTATTATTGTATATTAAGGAACCTACTCACACAATTCTTACCTAGAATGTTACAAATAAGAAAAAAACTACTTAAAACAAGAATAATTTTACTTATAATAAGTACAAAAT